AGTCGCTTCCCTCACATTTTTTGTTGGCCTCGTTGGGAGAACGTGGACCACAAGACCCTACAGCGCTCTCAGTCACCGGGCATTTGTTGGCCTCTTTCTATTCCAACGCTTCCCAAATCCGTCTCCTTAGTTGCTGGTCAGCAGAAGCAGCCAAGGGTCCAGTTCCCCTTCATGGCGTTTACAGGAGGCAAAGAGACGACAGACAGAAAAGCAGCCCCTTTCCCTTGCTCTCCTTCTCTGAGACTGACTTGTTTCAAGCTTGTGGACATTTCTTCTTTCTCCCTTGTGCCTGCTCGACCCCTCTTACAACACTCACATAAACCCAGCTGGCCTCCGGGTTCAGCCCGCACAGGCCCCACTCCCTGGCAAAGTGGAGTCCTTAAAGAAGTCATCTAGGCAATTCAAGCAAACACATTTCAGAGAGGTTATTGGCCGGAAACACACACCTAATTCCCTTCATACCCGCCACCCCCGCCCGTGTCCCCTGCCTTTTGCGAATGTAAAATAGGCTTCTTGTGGCTACACTTGAGTATCCCCGACACTGGACGTTAATATATTTGGGGAAGAATAGTTATCATTCATTCCCGACTGCTGAATTTAAGTACATTTAGCTGAGATTTCATTTGCATTCCTTCTGCGAGTTACCCTGAATTTAGTGGCTGTTCCTTTAACTTAAAGCAGAAGAATCCAAACGCGCCAGGCGATTCTGAGTCAAGGGTTAGACCGAGGGTAAGGTGGTCAGGGGGATCGCACAGGCTGCGTAACAGTGGGAGCAGGCTAACAACTGTAACTTGAAAACTGGTTTGTTTGTTCTCCGGCTCAAGAAAGTCAAGGGAGGCGTGTAGCTTTCCTCATCCCTATCATTTTAGCTTTTTTTGCAACCTCAAAATTTGCCAACACTCTTTCATTTATTTTTCAATTAAAATGCAAATCGTTCGCTTTCAAACACAGCCCCCCCCCCCAAATATATATATTGTGCAGAGATGCGAGGGGGGTGTCGCGACCACGTGTTACACGTTCTACTGCTAGAGTCTTCTAGCTGGACTTAGAAATGTCCGACTTTATTAGGTCGTGGGCAGAAAGGCGTGCGGGTCCTGGGGATTCCGCAAGGGAAAGTCGGACTCTCTAGGGCGTCTGTAAGCCGCGTGCAGGACGGCCCCGACCAGAAACAGGCCTCCCTGGTCGGCATCAGGATCTGTTCTTCCAAGACTCGGCCCCTAAGGTGGTAATAGTTCTGCAGGGGCAGGGACATCTCTCCGTGCGCGAGTGACAGGAGCAGCCCACCCCCCTCGGAAGACGCCCCTCGCTCTTCCCGCTCCCAGCTGGAGACAGAGCAGATCGATGACAACCAGCACCAGGCAGGAGGCACCCGCCTTCCTTCAGCACAGCGCAGTGTGTGTCTGGAATATAAGCTGCCCCACGCAGGATTCAGGCACCCAGGGTTAAACCCCGGAGATCAAGGTACACAGACCCCAGAATTGTTTTGTTGTCACAAGAAAAAAATGCTGCTATTTTAATTCCTCAATGTGAATGATAAATAAAAGCAAATGATGGAGATGCCTTGCACCCAGCTTTGCAACTATTTACCAATGTCAGTTAAGCCAGAGTTGGTTGGATTGAGTTGAATGTCTCTCTCATATTTCTCTGTCTCTACCTCACTTCTCTCCGTATCAGATACTAAATTTACAAAAGGAGAATATCCATTTCTTTCCCGGGTCACAATATTTACATGAAATAAAGGGGGGATCGTTTTTGGAAATTGGAATCTTTGGGGATCACTGGCCTCCTCTCCTCCCCCCCCCCCCCCCGCCCATTGCTACCTAGTTCTTGAGAATGCGGTGTACTGGGGGAATGTGAGGATGTCGCTGGTGGCCCAGGCGCGGGGGTTCAGGAGGGAGACTGTGTGCCACTGTCAAGTGGAAGCCCGCGAGGTAAGGAAAAGTTTCGTTTGTAACGAAGCGAGGGGCAGAGGGGCCCCAGCAACTCGGCCTCGGCTGGGCTCCCTGCCTCATCCTCCGGTCGCAGTCTTTTGGCCGAAATGGCAGGGCGCTGGGGTTTAGACCCATAGCCCAGCAGAGCATCCTCCCTCGTAGGGAAATGCAGACAGTCCCCACATGAACACTTTTCTTGCCCGACTCAGCATAATTCATGTGGAGGAAGGAATTCACCTTCCTTCAGGTCAGAGTCTAAGGTCTGAGAAGTGATCCATTTAGCCCAGTCTCGAAGTTAATACCGGCGGGTGGAGAGGGAAGAGGGGGACTAAATAAAAACAAAATTACTTTTATCTCAGTAATGAATAATAAAAGTGGCAAAGGGTAAACAAAAACATTTTAAAAAAACAATTCAAACACAAACTGCCACCTTTAAAAGACCAAAGCTTTAGAAATGAGAGCTATCAAAGCGGAATAAGCCCTCCTAGCTTTTGGTGCTTGGACCCATAGGAGTGCTTTGGCACTCAGTCAAACTCCATCCATGGGAAGTACCGATTAGATTTTATTCTTGAGCTATTTAATTCTATTTTCTAAGAATTAAGTTTGGACTTCATGATCTCATCCAAATTGCTCTAGTGACTACCCCTCATTGGTGTGTTACTTCAACATCCTGAAATCTCAGAATTGTGCAAAAGTCTTCCTCCTCCCTTGCACAGCTCAACCCTGCCAGCAATCTCAAGATTCTCATACAAGGGAAGAGGGATGGAAGATAGAAAGGGAATGAAGGAAATCACTCTTCAACTCCTAAATCTTAGACATCCCATCACCACAACCCAGAAGGCTGGACATCTCCATCTCTCAAAACAACCCTGGAATTGAGGGCAAGGGGCCAGAGCTTTGGAGACAGTTTTCAAAAACTTATAGTCCCCTGGGGGGTACCCAGATACTTCTTTATATAGATGCCCCTTTTGGTGATTCTGCTCCCGTGTAAACTCAGAACAAATAACGACAAGAATCGAAGGAAAGAAAAGTTAAAAAAAAAAAAAAAAGAGTTCACTCCTCTCAGGTCTAAACATCACCTGAAAAACAAATATTCCCATTAAGCTGATTCTGTTCTCTGAGTATTGAGTAACCCTGTAAATGATATCATTGCGGAGAAACCTAGGAATGAAAAGTAACGAAGAAAGAACAGAGAAGAAAAGAGGAGGTGGCAGAAATGGAAGAGGAAGACCCTTCGGCCTACTAGGGGATTAAGAACATCGACAGGCTTAAGGAGCAGCAAATTAATTTACACAATTCTGGAAGAGCCCAGATGGCCTTTAATTAATCCCTTCAAAAGAAGGAGCTAGGCCAGGGCTGCGCCGGCTGCCCGCTCCATTAGCTCCATTTTACAAGGGACCAGACTGTTCGAGGTGAGGCGTCGCGAGCTCGTGGGGGAAAGGGGGGTGGGAAGGGTGACGCGAGCAGGCGAGGGGGGATGGCGAGGGAAGAATATGAACTGCTTTTCCATAAAAGGGCCGGGTTTTCATTATTCTTCTCTTTAAAAAGTAATGCCCTCTCAGTCTCTGCTCCCCCCTCCACTTCTCCATTTTATTTAACACAATTAATTGAGGCGTCCGCTGGCCCCAAGGCGGAACCGCACCACTCGCCAGGCCCCACCCCCTGACCCCACCCACAGAAGCGATGGAGGTGGGAGGAGGCGGGAACCAAGCGGGCGCGGCCCTACGGCTCGCCCTTCTCAGCCAGTCAGTGGGTGCGGCGCTCCGGAGTGGGCGTGCCCTAGAGGCGACGCGCTGCCCGAGGCTGAGCGCAATTGGAGACGGTGGTTACGCCCCCGGCCTGTACCCGGCTCCTCGGCTCCGCCTCCCCGGCCGCCTCTGAGTGACGTCCCTCAAAGTTCTCATTTTGGACCCCCAGTTCCCCCTTCTTTTCGTCCCCCAGCTAAAGAGGGGTAGGGAGTGATGTAAATGTTTTATTACCTTTGAGAGCTTCATCTGAACTGTCAGGTCCGGAGGGAGAGAGGAGAGAGGAGAGGAGAGAGAGAGGGAGGGAGTGGAAGAGCCGGAGAGGGTCAGCTTGGCCAGAGCACAGGACTTAGAAGAACGAAGCCTGTAAAGCCGCGAAGAAAATGCGAGAGAGGAGAGGCAAAGGCGGAGAGTGAGAAGAAGAGAGGGTGCTGGGGGGGTGGGGCGGGGGTCGCCAGGCCCGTTTGCAGAAGTGGACAGACGAACGGAGCCGTAACCGAAGCCGTCAGACTTTTCACACTTAGTCTTTGTTTTTCTGTGGTTTTTTTTTTTTCCTCCCCATTTTTCTTTTCAATACTGCAACTCTAGTGCCCCGTGGCCCAGAGGGGAAGGCGGGTTGGCGCGCCGAATCCGGGAGCGGCGGGGATTGGTGGCACTGCCCCTTCTGGCGCACCAGCCCCTGGCCGAGTCGGCGGAGGAAGCCCGCCCAGAGGCGAAATCCTCCCGCGGGCTGGATGCGCTCTCTCTCTCCCCGGGAGCAGCGAGCGCCGAGTGCGAATCAGCCTCGCGGCGAAAGAACAGGGCAGTCAAGTAAGATTAGAGGAGCGCGTCCGGCGGAACCTGGAGTCCTTTAAACCTCCCCAAAGAAAGCGAGCCAGTCCCTATACGCCAACATCGAAGTGGAGATTCGGTGACTCTTAACTTTGTTGCAAACTCTGGGGCCGGTCTGGGTTTTGCTTTGCTTATTTCTCCGGGGGAGATGGGAAGTAGCGCACATTGAGAGGCGAGGAAAAGTGAAGAGAGCGAAGAGACCGAGATTGAGTCCACGACTCTAGGAGCGGAGCGAAAGGACAGCCAAACCCGCCCGGACGCCCACTGATCTCGGCGAGCCACTGCCTCTCCAGTGGCGTGTTTGGACATTTCTGCTGCGCAGCTTCGAGAGCAACTCTCGGCGGCGGCGTCCTTGGCCCAGTTGGCAGGTCGCCTCTGGGAGCGCGGAGCTACTCCTCGCTCGCGCCCTCGGCACTCCTCGCTCTCCTGAGCCCCACCGGGGCACCGGCCGGCGCCCTCGCTGAGTGGCTGCGGGCTCCGGCCTGGCCGTGGGATGTTAGCGGTGGGGGCGATGGAGGGCACCCGGCAGAGCGCGTTCCTGCTCAGCAGCCCGCCCCTGGCTGCCCTGCACAGCATGGCCGAAATGAAGACCCCGCTGTACCCCGCGGCATACCCCCCGTTGCCCACCGGCCCCCCCTCCTCCTCGTCCTCCTCATCCTCCTCCTCGTCGCCCTCCCCGCCTTTGGGCGCCCACAACCCAGGCAGCCTGAAGCCCCCGACCGCGGGGGGGCTCTCATCCCTGGGCAGCCCCCCACAGCAGCTCTCAGCCGCCACCCCCCACGGCATCAACGACATCCTGAGCCGGCCCTCCATGCCCGTGGCCTCAGGGGCCGCCCTGCCCTCCGCCTCGCCCTCGGGTTCCTCCTCCTCCTCTTCCTCGTCCACCTCCGCTTCCTCCGCTTCCGCAGCTGCCGCGGCGGCCGCGGCCGCTGCAGCCGCCGCCTCATCCCCAGCGGGGCTGCTGGCTGGCCTGCCCCGCTTCAGCAGCCTGAGTCCACCGCCGCCGCCGCCTGGGCTCTACTTCAGCCCCAGCGCAGCGGCCGTGGCCGCCGTAGGTCGGTACCCCAAGCCGCTGGCCGAGCTGCCCGGCCGGACGCCCATCTTCTGGCCAGGAGTTATGCAGAGCCCACCCTGGAGGGACGCCCGCCTGGCCTGCACTCCTCGTGAGTACGATCGCCTGAGTTGTGCGTGTTCTGCCCACTCTCGGGTCATGGCCCCTGGTGTGCATGGGGATCCGTGCACCCTCTTGGCTCCCCAGTAGGTTGGCAGCGCCAGAATCGCACGATTTGGGCTCTGCCAGGGCATTCATTGAGGGACTCTGGCTTCCCTGAGCTTGCGTCCAAGGCCCCCCTCCCCCCGCGCTCTCCAAGTCTTGGGCACGCCTCGAGAAGCGGGTGTGCATGAGTCCGCGTTAAAAACAACGCGGTGCTAGGCGTGGGTCTCACCCGAGGCCCCGGCTACTCTGGAGCAGCCTGACGACAATCTCAGGCCCTGCCTGGGTTAAAGAGGTGGGAAGGGCAGGAGAGGCCATTGAGACCCCGGCTACACACATTCTTTCCTGTCTCCCGCCTGTCGGCCAGGGCCCCACTCCACCTACGCCAGCCTAACTGGCCTCCCTGCGAACTGATGGGGAACGACCGCGGCAAGCCCTCGACAATCCCGGCCCGAGTGCGTGTATTTGCTAGTACGTCTCGGCCCAGGGTGTCCCTACCTAACCTCTTCCCCTTCGAGGAGCTCCCCCACCCTCCCCGCCCCAGTACAGTCGGGCCGGGTGAGCCCATTGAAGACAGGCCCGCGGCAGCCGCAGGAGCAAGCTCAGTCACTTCGGGCCACTCCCCTCCGCTGGGCTCTCACTTTCCCACCCGCCTCGGCCCCGGGAAGGGGGGGTGGGGGTGGCGAAGGGCCGGGACATCCTGGGCCTGGGAATGTTGAAAAGCATCGTGGCCCTCAACATCCTAACATGAAAATGAACCAGAGGAAGAACGAGGTGGCGACAGAAGGACCGGGGAATATGCACATCCCACCAAGACCTTGCTTGGAACCAATTGAGTTGCCCCGCGATCCGTCCAATCTTCTGGGTAGTTGGCCACCGCCGCGGAGGCTCCTAGTCTTCCAAGTGGAGTTCGAGGCCCAGCCCAGGTCTTTCTCTTGTTCGGTTCTTTGCTCTTGACCGAGTCCCCCAAGGCTCCATACCTCTTTCGTGTGGCTTAACGGCAGTAACTAAGGGAAGTTGCGGGAGCTAAGTAGAAGCTCCTTTGGGAAGCCTCAGGATGGAGGGCGGCCCGGGCGGGTGAGGGTGTCGGGGAGACGCTATTGTATTGGTTTTGATGGCCACGTAGGGACCTCCAACAAAGGCGGCACCCCCTCCCCCTCGGCCGCAGAGGCGTTAGACTTGGGGGCGATTTAGCTCTCTCGTGTGCAAAAAACAAGGCGCCCTTTGTTGTGCGGACACAGGTTAAGAAAGCGTTCAAGGAAAGGGAAAAAAAAAAAAAACTAGTCATCCTCAAGCAAAGTCTCCGGGGCCGAGCGAGCACTGACTGGACTGGGAGGCGAGAGGGGCCTTTTCCCGGCATTCCTCAATTTACTGGGGCCTGGTGATTCGGCCCCGGCAAACTTCAGTAATGCGCTCCCTCACTGTTTGACGTCTGTGTTCGGCAGAAGGTTATTTACCGCGGCTCCAAACACACCCGGCTTTTAAAAACAGGTGGGCGTAAAAAGGCCAAGGGAGGCGCGCGGTGGGACTGGAAGCGCCAGACACTTCTGATGTCTGCCGCGGAATAAGCTTTCCAAAAAACATCGTGTTTTGAGTTCGTTTCTGTTCAGTGGAGCCGCTTGTAACCGATTGTTTTTCCCCTTCCCTTTTTTATCCGTTCTCGCAGATCAAGGATCCATTTTGTTGGACAAAGACGGGAAGAGAAAACACACGAGACCCACGTTTTCTGGCCAGCAGATCTTCGCTCTGGAGAAGACTTTCGAACAAACGAAATACTTGGCGGGGCCCGAGAGGGCTCGCTTGGCCTATTCGTTGGGGATGACGGAGAGTCAGGTCAAGGTGAGTAGACCTTGCAAACCTCGAGGGATGGTCTCCCAATCCCCAGCGCGCGCGCGCGCGCACACAGACACGCACACACAAGGGCACGCGCGCGCGCACACACACACCCCTCTAACAAACAGCCGCTCGGGGGTGCGGATCTGAGGAGCCGGGGGAGAAGATGAAATCAGCGAAGGGGGTAGGAGTGGGGGTTACAAAGGCCCTTGGGGTCTCGAGGCGGGCGAACTGTTGATGAACAAAAGGAATCAAGCCCCCGCCTTTGAAATTAGGTTAATCTAGATTAACCAGCATGTGCTGGGGGAACTCGCCATTATTGGAGAATAAAAGCATGACCGAAATATCAGCCCTTAGAATAGATCACGCCAGTTAGATAGCTTCTATTTATTCAATCTGTAAGGATATTCAAGCTTTTGTCAATGCAAGCTCCGCTAGTTATATAATTTCCTGATGTAGATCAGCCTTATAGTGCCACTAAATTAACTTGTAGGTTAAAAAAAAAAGGTCCACAGGATCCAACTTCGCAGGACATGAATCTGCTTTTAGTTTACCTGAGGACCAAAACTTTGGAATAGCAATTTTCCAAATGAATTGACAAGATTATTACTGTATTATGAAAGAATTCTGTTTAAGTTCATCAACAGATGTACGATATTTTACTGTTTGTGACAATTTATAATTAAAATGTCACTTAGCTTATAATTGAGTTGTATAGTATATTTCCAGGGAATCAAATTTGAGAAATCTTTCCCTGAAAAATAAAAGGATTGAACCAGTAGGTAAATTAAATCTAGTGGTTTCCATTATTTCTAGTATTCTTTTTTTGTGTCTCTTCTTCAGTTTATTATATTTGGGTGTTTTTGGAGGGGAAGGAGTGTAAGTCTGTTTTCATTAGTAATCTTGTTGCTCCTTAACTTAAGTAGGAATAACTGTTAGCCACGTCTGCTGGTTAGAGTGTATTTCCTTCCCAGGCAAGCATCATAAAATGCATTTCAGGAGTGATTTTGTAGTGACCATTAGAATACCATCACAGTTAAAATTATTTTTGCAATGGTTGGTACAGAGCCTACCACAGTAATCTGGAAGTCTTCATTGTCACCGTAAATATGTCTGTGTGGCTAGAAGTGAATTATTATAGCTGTATAAGGAAAATAAAAATCACTTTCTTAACAATTCTGATTCTCTAGATAAATACATAACGGATGAGAAAATGGATGAGTAGCATAAAAAGAGGATAATATCTTTGGGAAATTGGTTGCTTATTGCTGATGCTTTAGGTTAAATTATGTGTATCAAACACGGTGTCAAACATCGTGAATAGCTTAAAATATTTGTTATATAAAATAAATGTCTTAGAGAAGAACAATATTAAAATAATATTTGAGAGACTAGGAATGCTAACAGTGGGAAATAATGTAATTGGCAAAATTTCACTTTAAAAAATAACTAATGAAAATTTCAGCTTGATTTTTGGTTTTATGGAAAACATTAAACCACAGAGAAAGACTCACACACAAACTACTGTGATGATTTTAGCTAACCTATTCAATATTTTCAAGCATTTATGTTGATTATTATTAGTGATTTGAGGTTTCTGTTTTGGCAAATCTTTTTCTTTTTTCTTTCTTTCTTTCTTTTTTTTTTTTTAACTTTACATGGTACATTACAAGTGTAAATGGGGAGGGGAGTGTTTACCTACCATGTTTGTGTGGATTCAGACCTGAGATCCGTGAAACAGACAAATATCCAAAATGAAAAGGAGAACGGAGGTAATTGGGGTAAATGCCATACTTTCCCCCACAAATCACACTAAGAAGCAAGTACACTTCAAGATGTTTCAAAGTCTTAATCTAAGAAAGTAAACAACAAATAAAATCACAGTCATTATGAGGCAAACGTAGGAAGGTGAGAAGTTTTCTACTTCAAACTACAAAGTAGGAAAGCGGGCTCATTTTTAGGGAAACTTACTTTAAGTTTCCAAGTTTGTTCTCTTCTTAGAGATAGCTCACTGACAACGTCTGTACTCTTGTGTTACTATCGCTATGGCAACGGCAGTCAGTTTCCTGGTGCCGGGTACTCGGAGGAAGCTGGGGCGTTGGAGACGGACTTTGACGGCCCGAACAAGGGAGGTCTCTGAGGGAGGGTGGCAGGCCGTCAGGGGCCCGCCCGCTGGAGCCACCTGGGGGCCTGGGAGAGGCAGCCTTGCCTGGATCCGCTCGCCTTCAATTCCTGCCCCCCTGGCTTCCCTCTCCTCCCCTTTCTTGGCCCTCAGGTCTGGTTCCAGAACCGCCGGACCAAGTGGAGGAAGAAGCACGCGGCCGAGATGGCCACGGCCAAGAAGAAGCAGGATTCGGAGACCGAGCGGCTCAAGGGGGCTTCGGAGAACGAGGAGGAGGACGACGACTACAACAAGCCTCTGGACCCCAACTCGGACGACGAGAAAATCACGCAGCTGCTGAAGAAGCACAAGTCCAGCAGCGGCGGCGGCGGCCTCCTGCTGCACGCGTCCGAGAACGAGAGCTCGTCCTGAGCGCCCGCCGCCCCCCACCCCCCCGGCGCCTGCCGGGCCTCCGGCCGCCGCCCCGGGGACCGCGCGCGCTCCGCCTGCCCGTCCCTCGGGGCCCGGAGGACCCGGCCCCAACTGCCGGGGCTCTTTGCTATTTTCTGAGATGTACATATCTATTTTTTTAACCTGGAAGTTGAGGGGGCCGGGGGGGAGAGAGAGAGAGAGAGAGAGACTCGGGGGTTGGATCAGAAGGCAGAAAAGACCTCGAAATGCACTGCATAGATAAGGCAACCGAAATTCGCAGCTGGGCCACCCTCCTGGCCCCGCTCGGTTCCCTAAACCCGTCCCCCCGCTGCGCGAGCCGCCGCGGTCCCCGCAGCGGCCCCCCCCGCCTGGGCCCCCGCGGCCGGCCGGGGCGGGGCGCGGAGAGGGGTTCTTGAAGGCTCTACACCCACCGCAGGGACCTCGGAGCCACGCGGGCGGGCCACCGCCACAGATGGGAGGAGAGAGGGCGGCTTCTCCTCCCACAAACTGCTGTGCCGACTAAAGCAACCTGTTGAAGGCTCTTTGTAAATAAATCGTGAGTCACACTGACTAGAAGTTACTTTATTGTGAATATTTAAGATGTAAAATGCTTTTTTTGAATTTGGTATAAAAAGATGGCCCTCCTTCTTCCTTCACTCTGCCCCCCCCTCCTTTTAAGAGTTACTCAAACCACACGTTTCCCTTTTATTTGGAACTTAATTTGAGAAGCGAGACAAGAATGTTCTCCACCCCCGCTCTTCGCCCGGGTTTGGGTTTGTTCAATCTCACTCTTCCCTTTGTCCCGTTGCTCGTCCCTGACCCCCCCTAGCCAGGCGTCCCGCTGCCACCTCCAGGACTCGGTTGCTCGTCCCTGACCCCCCCTAGCCAGGCGTCCCGCTGCCACCTCCAGGACTCGAAGTAGAAGACGTGGAACCAGGGAAGGCCTCAGACCTGCCTCTCCGTCCCTTTCAGAAATTGCACAGTCGTTCGTTGCTATTTATTAGTGATTTAAAGAAAGTATGGGGGAGGGAGGGGCTACAATAGCTTGTATTTAATTTAATTCTTTTCTGATAAAAATGCGTGTTAAAGTAGATGGTGGGAATTGTTACAACTGCTCTGGGTCAGAAACATAAAAATTCATTTAGTTGCTGTAATTGAATTTGAAGTGTTTTGTATCATAAGAATACTATAGACTATGTATATTGTTTTCTTTTTTAAGCTAATAATGGTGATATATTAGCGTCTTTAACGTTTATTAATTTATATAAGGAATTCGGTTTGTAAAGAGAAGAGAACCCCCCTTTGCAAGACCAGTTAAATGTAATGCACTTTCTGTTTCAAAGGATAAATCAAATTAAAAAACAGTTTGAAGACATCTGTTGCCTTGAATGGAAGGGTAGAGATCATCTGAGCTCACCAGAGATCTCAAAAGTCAAGACCACAGAATTACTATATTGGTTCCTTGGGTAAAATAGCTGCTATTTATTTATTTATTTATTTATTTAAGAGTAGGGTCACATCTCTAATTCTCTTGGATTAGGAAGATAAAAGAAATGTAGCCCCACTCGTGGGTCTTCGTGAAGAGACTTGTCTAACAGGCTGCTTCTGATGTCTGTGTTGTCTAATTTTTTCCTGATCGCTTTTTCCTTTTCAAAGAAGTCCCTGGAGGGTTTTGGGAAGGCCTCATTTCCATATATCCAAGATAGCTCCTTGGTGGAGCCCTAGCTCGCTTAGCCGAGAGGAGGCTGTGGAGCTTGCTGGTGCAGCAGCCCTGCTATTTGATGCTAATATTTACCCACACTCTGTAGTTTGTAAGACTGTAGAAGTTGTTGGAAAGACAGGAACCTTGATTTTGCTAACCATTACAATAAAGGATGAATTTAAAGAAAGCTTCTTCTAACTGATGCGAAAGTCTTTAGGGTTATGGAATCAATGTCACAGCTTCTGCAGCTAAATTTGCAGGGGGGAGAAAAAGGAATCCTACCTAGGGAGAGGGCTGTATCACTGTCTTGGGATCTTTTTGTTTTCAGACACTCAGTTATAGGGTTGGTGAAATATAGTTATCCCCTTAGTGTTTCAGGTTAATGAGCTTGTGTTCAAAGAGAGAAAAATCAATAGAATTCAGTAGATTCTTCAGGCTAGCCTTAGGTAAAGAAAGTGTGGGTCTGTTTTGTTCCCTTGAAAATTAAAAAAAAAAAAAAACAACAACAACTGAAAACTGGGAATATGATTGCCTGAGGAAATTATTATAGAATATATTCCTGATGGCATGGTGTAATGGAAAGAATGCAAATCTGCCCAATTTCTTTTCTCTAGTTTGTCTGTGAAATTCTCAATAAGTTTTAAACTTCTGAATTTTTGCATTCTTAGCAAGACTGAGGTGTGTATCCTATAGAGCGGCAGCTATTTCAAAAGAGGTTTTGCTGTGCTGGAGTGATGAAATTTGAGTCTTAGCTATAAATAATAAGAATTTCCTTCCTCCCTCCCTCCTTTCCTTTTTTCCTCCCTCCCTTCCTCCCTCCCTTCCTCTCTTCCTCCCCCTCTTTTTATGAAAGAATCTGGGGAGGGGGTATTGTGGAAAGTCTATTATCTGCACTTTATTATTTGTTAATTTGCAACGAATGAAAGTGTCCTATCTACTTTATTAACTACTTTTTAACCTTTTTGACTTGAAAAGCCAAGCAACTTTTTAGTTATTCCTTCTTCCTAAGAAAACAAAAATTCACAAGTTAATTAGAAATGCTATTCTTGGAATATAATAATAACAACTATTGTTGTTGTTAGTAGTAGTAGTAATAGTAATATAGTAGTATCAATCATAGAAACTTGGAACCAAGACCGAAGCTTTCTCTCAAGAAGCAAATAGGGTTACAGTATTTATTCCAAGTTAGAAATGTGGAAAGACCTCTTCCAATTCCTTTAGGAAGCATTTCCTCTGAGCTCTTCGCCTTTACATTGAAAGCATCTGAGAAATGGGAGTTGGTGGCCTGGCCTCCACCATACAAGCAATTATGCAAAGGTCTTCCTGCTTGCACGTGAGTGCTCTGAGTTGTGTTGGGCTCTTCGGCCATGCTGCACTGGCATTCTTTCCTTTTTTCCAGTTGACTGCAACAGTGACTTGACGTTTCCAGTTAATTTACTTCCACCCAGGATTCCAGCTGGACACCAGTTGCAACTGGCCCCATAAAACTGGGAATGAGGGATAAGTGGGTGGGGGGACACTTTACTTAGGTGTTCCTTTATACTGGTTGGTTTGATTTGGTTCTGTGTATGTGCAACAAGAATTTTTTTAAAGAGCATGGTGGGGAAGCTGAGGAAACACCTCAAGCACAGCAGAGTAAGAATCATTTTCCATTTGGGCTCGAAATTTTTATGGCATTAACCAGCCATAAACATCTGAGTAAGGCTGCCACCCAGTTATTACAGCTAAAGGGGTCTGATTTAAAAACAAAGTAACAGCAAGTGACCTGATGGACTACTTTTATTTTTAAAATGTTCCCACTTTTATTGAGATATAATTGGCATATAACATTGTATCCATTTAAGATACAATATGATTTGATATATGTATATATTGTGAAATGATCACCATGATAAGTCCGATTAACATCCATCATCTCACATAGTTAGTTTTCTTCCTTGTGATGAAAATTTTTAAGATCTACTTTCTTAACATCTTTGAAATATACAATATTGTTAACTATAGTCACCATCACATCACCAGATGTTTTCTACCTTTGACCACCATCACCCATTTCCCCCGCTGCAGTCAACCTCTACTTTTAAAAATGTTTGCAGGCGACAAAATGTCGACATGGAAACATGAGAAATGAGAAAAACAAGGATTTTTGTGAAAGGAAGGGTAAAACTGCTTTTTCATTTTTGTTTTATCATGTGTTTCTTTTTCTGAAAAGAGAGTCAGTGAGGTTGGGTGAGAGACACAGAATGGAAGGGAAGGGCCCTATATGGGTCTCTCAGATGTCCCAACAGCATTTACAATTCGCGGCTTCTACAAAGTTATTTTCCTAGTCTCCAAAGCCCAAGCTCAGTTCTCCATTGGTGGCTAAACTCTTCCGTTCACATTCAGAGGATTCTGTAACTTAGAGCTCTATGCCTTCTTTCCCAGAAGCTGTGGTATAGTGAGTGGCTTTCCAAGTTTGTGAGCACTTTAATCCACTTTTTCTTTCACTCCTTGGGAGACAGTGGGAAGGGGGAAACTGAAAACCACTCATTCTTTTCTGGAAAGATGTGCATTTCATCACTGCTTAGTTTGCAGGCAGTTTGGACTGGAGGCCAGCTCTTCTTCGAAATAATGTGCTAGGCAACAGAGTCTGAGGGTGCATTTGAAACCTTTTGGAGCCTAATGTCATATACATGAGTATGTTATTAGACCAGCATCAACTTGGCTAGATCTACACTGTTTTGTCCTGTAAGCTGGTCATCAGTGGACACACACACACACACACACACACACACACACACACACACTGGAGAGGTGAAATTCCACTTGGGAACTCCTAGCACTGAATAGCTTAAAGAGACAGTGGCTCCTTTGTTAATCATTGACAATACGATCATGTAATAACAACGGAGGTAAGCAGTAGATTTCATCTATAAACTCTATTTTAACCTGATTTGAACAGCTTTCTCCACACTAAATTTCCTTGCTCCTACCATATGCACAGATACGTGCACAAATACTCTTCTCCCCTCCTCAGTATGACTTTTAAAAAAGCCAGTTCCTCAGTACACTTCCTTTTTTGACAGGAAAGTCTGTATTTTGTTCTGCAGTATTTAGACTGCAAGCTTCACAGAGAAATACATTCTTCCTAACATAGCCCTTTTTCAGATCTGCAGAAAACACAGTCGTACAATACCTCCCCACTGTTAATGTAAAGTCTGACTAGGGAGCAGAGCAATGGTGTGAGGGGATGACAAAGGGATGGGCTATTTTCCCAAATTCTGGCCTTCAGGATTCCATAGATTGGCTTGGGGTTGCT